GSCCCMWTTTTTTCTCTTGGTCCATTGCCGCGGCATTTGCAGTGACTGTTATCATACTGAAAGCTATCCTTATTTATATATACTAATTCCTGCGAAAGAAAATATGATGTATYCTATAGTTTGGTTCTTATAACCTGAAGCAGGTTGAACAGAAAGAGTTGCAGTTGCGCTATCCACTTCGATAAATCGGCATTTTATCATATAATTATGACTTTTCTTCTCCATTTTGTAAAGTTGTTAGAATTGTCACTGATGAAAATARCACATTCGAAGTTTCTCTATRTATTGGAAGTWAGAAAAAGATATTTTACGACRTRATTTGTTTTCATATATRATTATATGATAAAAATAAARCTGCATGRTCGCTTGCAGATACGAATTATGTCTTCTCGTGTTGAAAATTTCAGGGTAATCTTTTCAACACGCGAAGATAAAATCCGTATTTCCGCGCGCCTATGTAATATCCTTTGTTCGAAAAAAATGGCACTCACCATAAAAAAATATGTTGTATTGTAAGTCTCGAAATCTGAAGCAGGTTTTTAAGGGTATGGTTGACGCTGTTTTGATTCAGGGAAATGACTCCGTCCACTTCAGCATTGATGATTGTATCATTGCCATCTAAATTGAATAGTTCAGTGAAACCTTCTTGCTCGAAACTGATTGTACAAGTTACCAAATAAATCCTTACCAAATAAATCTATATACCTGTCCTGCAGAATTAAATATACAACTAAAATCTATCGCGACTGATTAAGAAAGATTATAATAGGTTTGTCCATTGGATGAATTATTCTTATCCGAGAACACAAAATCCAAGCGTTGGCTACATGGTAAATAGCTTTTCCGATGAATAACGCTTTTCGTCTATGATTCGAGAACAACGTTTTGATACACACACATAATTTCTAGTTTCCGTTGCATTTTATTGTTGCTTGAACTCGGAGCAACGATTGAAACAGTCAAGACAGTGTAGAGCATATACACACGGAAAAGCCTGCTTATATCAACTCCATTGGAAGGCTGCAATCTGCAATCTGTCTTAGTTCCTAAGATGTTTAACGCAATAAGACAAGGAAATCCTTGTAGAGCGAGTWTCCATTGTATAACCACTTAAAAGATATTTCTTCTGCGACTGCAAATGAAACGGTCATAAAAAAGTCCAAATGGCTTTAAGTTTACGACAAACGTTGCATCGGTCTTTCTATTAACATAAAATGCGGCGTCATTTTTAGTTCACCTTTGCGCSAAACTAGTAGAGTTCTTCCATTTAGTAAARCAAGAAGATAACTGTGAAAATTTTTAAATTCTTCTTGCCTCCTATTATTAAATACCTTTAAAAGTCAATGTCCTGATAAAAGCGTGTTTTTTCCGAGCTTATAACGAGGACATGATTTTATTCTTCACGTGATCAAAATATCACTTCTCCTTAAGTAGAAGAGGGCGATTTATTTTAAAGCACGCATTTCCTAAACTAAGGTCGCTTTGAGTACAGTTAATCAGGCCCGACGGTGCTTGTTTACAAAATATAGAGTTAATACTCACACAGGTGACGCTAAAAGACGATGCGAAATCCTTAAAAATGTACCACCCAGTGGCATAAAATATGATACGCAGGTTTATTTGCAAAGAACGAGTGTCTGAATGAAGGAAATGTTACAGGTATAACAGATTGTACAATTTCTAAATCAATATGAGATATCACACTTAAACCGWGCCCTGTACAAAATCTAAATAGTACTAATTTGTACTAAAAGTGGACCTAAAGCAAGACGGTACTTGAATGCTTCATTTGTATCAATTCAATTTAATATGCATACCGCATGCACGATTTACTAAATACAACTAAATAGCACTGTTTAGTTGTACAGTTACACGGTTTAAGTGCTATCACTCTTCCTCAAAGCGYGATCCTCCATAAGTTAAAATGTTGTGAAATTCTAACCAATTCCCCTAAGTAGTTTCTGATCYGTTTTAGCTTCGATCCTTTTTAATTTAACCGTTGAACTTTGAGCATTATTTTATTATTATTTAAGTTCAGTTCTAYAGTGTAAAGTATACCCGAGATACAAACTTAAGCGTTAACGCACTTTCGTTCTCTTTATTGKTATGATTGGAGCACGATTTTCTTTGTTTTTCCTGTAAAAAAAAAAACATTTAAGAGGACGTAGAGCGCAAACAATATGTTGAAAAACTGCTACCCAAACCGTAGAGTGATCGCACTTAAACCGTGCAACTGTACAAACTAAATAGTGCTATTTAGCTGTATTTAGTAAATCGTGCATGTTATACGCAAATTAAATCGAATTGATACAAATGAAGCATTCAATACCGTCTTGGCTTCAGGTCCACTTTTGGTACAAATTAGTACTATTTAGATTTTGTACAGTTGCACGGATTAAGTGCGATCACTCCACCAACCAATATAGTGTAGATTAATTAGCTAAAAGAAACCAAAAGGAATCCACATAATTTAGGTACAATTTAGCACTATTTCATTACTAACGTTTTTCATGGTTATTGTATTGGGACTCTTTATTCCGTATTGCACTTTATTTCACGGGTTTTTAGAATCCCTCCTAATATTTGAGAAATGTAGATCTTACTTTCCTTTAACGCATTGCTCTTTAGGTTGCGGCTTTGGAGTTAAGAGATACAACATTGGGAAATCRTGGAATCCAAACATCTACCCACTGGGAATTCTCCGTTGTGTCTTGTGTACWTGCATTAAGGTATGATTCTAAAATACTTTATACGCGTATCTTTATGTGCTTAGCAGCCAACTTGGTGTCTGGTTATCAATGCTATAAAATCGCACTTAAGGYTTTATGAATAAAGGGTTGAATTTTATAAGTCAAAGCATTGGGTTTGCGTACGTTTTTCCGAAATACAATGAAACTTATGGCTAAAAATGTACCAAATTGTATATGACTTATTTCAAAAATTTGGTATTWGAGCGCAAAGACTAAAGCATATAAGCGTTTTGAGCACACTAGTGCCAAATAGCGCAATTTGGTGTAGATTATAGACAATGGAAAACAATGGAATTCGCATAATTTAGTACAAGTTAGCACTATTTCATATCACCAAATATTTTGGGGTTGAGTTTCCAGTGTTTGCAATCCTAAAGCAGTATCCCGAGCTAGCGCATTGAAGTTCCATCAATCCTTGCCTTTGCATGCTAAACTCTTGACTCAAAGAAAGTCTTGGCTCACAATGTGCGCTCTTTCAATCTTTCAAGTGAGGACAGCAGACCCGCGAAAAAAAAATCGACTTATTTGTACATTCCAATAGTTGAATATCATCCCTTTGTTTTCTTCAGTTTTATCAWTTTTTTATTTTATTTAATTTCAAACTTTTATTCTCTTCATCAAAAAGACGCCTTGAATACTCAGTCAGATATTTTGTTTTTATTCTCGCTAAATCACTCATCACTCAGAAAGATTGGTTAACGGCGCCGTTGTGAGCGCACTATGGTCCTAAACACAGCCAATGCTGTCAAGAAACGCGCTGMAGGAACACGTCTTTTTAAGCAAAAGCTATTTTATACAGACGAGAATAAACACGAGTAAGAGTTCTAAAACTCTGCAAACTATAGAATGATGAAGTCGATATGATAAGGGGACTCGAAATGTAACTCGCTATGAACCAAAAAATCACAGTGGTAGCCATATTTGAGTATTAAACGAGTACGAGTTGATCAAGTAAAACAACTATACAAAATTGTGGACCAGTTTTGCCAATGTTTATTCTAAAAAAACTGTTCAAATACTCACAATTTAGTCTAAGGTCGTTTATCCACATGATACCAGCCCTAAACCAGCATCACATTAGATTCAAACTGTCAGATTATATCGTAAATACGAGTCCTTAAYGCGACCTGAACTCGTCCTAGCTATTTGAGATCTTTCTTGTTATAAACCTTTCACTCCAGCCTTCGTATAAGTTTGGTTGACTGAAACATGAGCATGTTTTGAAATAACGTTCGATACCTTTAACATTTGTCCATGGTATAGCTCGCCATTTAGTCGCCGAAAACGACATGTTGTGAGTGGACGTCTCAGGTTAATAAACCTTTTGTCATTTCTCTTTCCTGGCCTGACACAAGTCTCGACACCAAAACTCAAGCCGCCTTCTGCAMGTCTTCGTTCCGAAATGGTATAGTGATGACCTTCTCGACTATTTTCAGTGCCTATTCGTTTCGCTACTCACAAGAAAAGCTTTCTGATGTTATAACCTTTAWGATTTGATCGACTTTTTGCGATACTGCAACTTGTTGCGTCTCAACAATTTTTCCATAAGCTTAAATCCACAAACATGCGTTACTACTTTTGTTCAAATGGTGGTTGTTTGGATTAGACTGAATTGAAATGAAAATATTGACGACTAAAATAGCTTCTTGAAAAACAGATAAGAAATCGTTCTTGACTGTAATGTTGATATCAATAACAATATTCGTGTAGGGTCTCTGAGTGGCCGCATTGTTGAGGTGTCCGATCTATGAGGTTGAAGTCGTTTGTAATGCATTTTCAACAATGGACCGGTCGCTCTAGTAGTCTAAACTGAATGGTCGTAAGATTGATCCTTTTGTTCGATATATTGAGGTCCGCACCTTATTAAACACTTGACGTAATTTGTTTTGATTTTTSTACAGCATCCAAGAAAAACAGGGAATTATGGGAAGGTCGTATGTCGAAGCACCCGACACCGCTGTCCAAAGACATCGTGTACGAATCCTGAATATAGAAACAATAAATGCTGCCCTGTTTGTCCTCCAGGTTTGCTGAGTTTCATTGATATTATTATGCATTGAAAATACTATCCTTTCTTTCTGTACATCATTCATCCCAGTCTCGATGCAATGCCCTTATAAGTACAGCATACCGATTGGCTCAATTGCTTGAGCAATCGGACTATAGTCCGAGATGCCGTGGGTTCGTATCCCGGCCGGACCAATACTCAGGGTCTTAGAATAGTTAAGTAGAAGTTATTGCCTTTGTTTCTCCATCTGCAAATGGTAAGATCTTCACACGTCCTCTCGGATAATGACGTTAAATCTGAGGTCCCGTCTACTCTACTCTAACCCTGTAGTGGACGTTAAAGAACCRCTGAGGACGCAGGTACGACCATCTTCAGTGTCTGTACTTMRGCCGCATAACCTTTYGGGGCACTAATACACTGAAAAATGTTTGCAAACTGCACAGCTGCTTAAAGCGCTTTCAATAGCAGTCTGTCAAAATTCTTCACTAACTATGTTGAGATACACGTATGTTGTAATACTCCAATTTCGAGTTCTGGTTTGCTCTGTGTTCGCCTCAAAACCAAGTAACATATTCTTTTGTTTCATTGATAGCCCGAGAAAACGCATGGAATTTGAAAAGAAAGACAATGGAATTCATTTGAAATCTCACACTTTTATTCTCACAATTAGGAATATTTTGCGCACAAATGAGGCTAACACAGAGCATTGGAGAATTCGAAACTGGATTGTTCAGATCATTGGTTTGCGAAATGTGGAAGTCCGTCACACGTAATTCTATCAAGAACAAGAGCCTTGAAACGATGTTGGTTTGACGGTTAATCCGATCTTTACTCTCTTTCATCCCCTATCCATCCATCAATCCATCCATCTATTCCTTAACTTATATACAATTAATTTGACTTTATTCGTTCACAGAATTTGTCGCCGTGCTTACTTCTCCCCAGTCTCTCTCAAGTAAAGGAATTTCCCGCMAAAATAAAGTGGCGCGTTTACACACAACGCTCCTGAAATCCTCTCTTCGAATATCGATCCATTATGAAGGGCAAGTATCAAGTATTGATCATAGAAAATAGGAAAATTATGCGACTTT